CGGCGCAGCCGAAGCCGCCCCTAAGCATGCCGTCACACGGCTCAGATTCTAAGGAGTGAGAATGCCATACAGACCACACTAAGAAACCACTGCAGCCTGGTTCAGTCCACCACCCACACTGGATTGCTTTCGCGATCCGAATTATCCCGTCAGTTGGCAACCTTCCAAGCTATCTACGACGGTTTACAAGGTAATGACGCAAGTTGCAACGAGGGTGTATATCGGAAGCAGCAACCCGGGGTTTTAGTGCAAGATAGTTATGTTTGTAAAGGCGTGTAGGGCAATTCCAAGATTGTTGGTGCTGCACCCACAAGAGTATCAAGATTTGAGGAAATAGTTAGGCTACACTGGGAGAGACAAACCACTACTTCACGACTTTTGACATCCGATCGGCTCAGCTGTTCACAGTCTCGGTAGCTGAAGTAGTTGAGGAGTCACAATCAGTTATAGGCAGACGTAGAGACTGCATAGCTTAGCCACAACCTCATTGGAAAGTTTGCTATGATGGATGAGGAGCTACAAAGCCTGCACACTGTGATTAGGCAAACTTTGGGATATTCTGTAAGAGAACAGCACCAAGCTGGACCTACGTACCAAAGTCGATGGATTCAGCATTAGCAGTTTGACTGCCGAAGCTTCGCAAGTCTGACTTATACCAAGACAGCACATGTACCAGCTTTGTTTTAGTACTACTAGAATATAGAAAAATGTTAGACAGCAACAACGATAGAGCCACCGGCAGAACTCCAGAAATGAGCTGGCTGAGAGGTTTATGACGGACAGGGGAGAGGAGGGAGGAGCTTACGAGCATAAAGATAGATTTTTTAATAGAATGGCCTGCAAAATGCTAATCAGTAACACGAAAGCGTCCGGTCGTCCTAAAAAGATCAGCAGACTGTTTGAATGTATATTTGAATGTGTTTGAATGTGTATTTGAACAAATATCCGAAAAATAATACATAATAGGACATGATCGACGCGTCGGCTGTGCGTCTGAAGCAACAAGATAAAGATTAATGTTCGTCACCAAGCCGGCGATGGATATTTGAAGCTGCAATTAGAAAGATTGAATAAGTTGCGTAGAATAAACAGCTACTGAAATAAAGGTGGGTAGCAATTGTAAGAAAACAAATTCAGGTACAAAGGGGCAGCGCAGCTAACTAAAGAGTTACATCTAAGTATTAAGGTGAGGCCCTTCGAAGGACATATAGTCCACGGCAGACCAGAAAAGCTTATAAACTTGTATATTTACATGAATTGGTTGTGCAAATCTTTTGAGTCTACTTTACTCTATGCTAAGGTTTGGCTGAGAGGACGAATTCGGGCCCCCGCTACTTCGTAATTGTTAATGTTGGTCTGTAGTGCATAGTAGTCTCCCAGCACTCCTTAGTAACTTTCCAGTGAGTTAAGTATTCAAACTGCATCCCAAATAAAACAACCCACGCGTGCTGCTGCCTCGAGAAAATATTCCGCGCCATAAGTCTGCCCAAATACACTCGAACAGATTATAGATCGTTCGTGTATCGCAGTAGAACAGTACAACTACAATCAGTTGAACACGGTGCAAAAAGAGCTTTAGATATTTATTTGGCCTTAAATAATTTAATCATAGCCGCACTGTCTCCACAAGTCTGCTGAACCAAACAAGAGCACAGTCGAAATGGGCCAAGTCAGTCATCATCACATTCGCATAGAGGAGCGTGTATGGCTAAACGGAGTCCAAGGGCCAAAGATAAATGCGACTCACACTGCGTAACACCCGCGTTTGTCTTGTTGAGCGGGAGTACGGGGGAGTGCACGTTTCCGGGAGGATTTCCCGACTGCACGCGTATGAGGGAGGCGGGTGCAGCTACGGGGGCTATTACGTGCAGACCACCAGAAGTACCACCGACTGTAGTAGATATATCCGCTTCAGCTGCGGGTATGAGGTTTGGTAAGTGGCCTGGAGCTGCACTGGCAACACGAAACACCGTGACGCCCGATCCAGTCCCAGGCAGGGTAATGCGAGAAGCCACCGGACCGGTTGGGGCGGCAGAAGACTGAGTGAACTGAGGGCAGACGAAGGAAGGAACAACTGTGAAAAGGGTCCCCAATGGCTGGGTAATTGGATAAAATGAACGCCAATGCTTGTCTAAAAGGCTTGTAGACAAAAATGAGGGTCGCATGGTTGAACGAGTCAAAGGTAAACTACTCATATGCCTTAGACAGTCAGCTGAAAGTCCAATTGCATTTCAGTAAGTTCATAGCAGAAAGCTGTTAATGAATGCAGGGACTATAGTCGGACTAGGAAAAAAAGAGCACGTTGGAAGAAACTACTCACAGATGAGTTGGAAAAAATATCACACATCATTACTATGGCTGTGCACAAATGGAATTCAAAGGGATAAAAGCCTTAGTGTAAAACAGCAAGCTGACTAGAGGAACCGGCCAGTACCAACTAAACAAAAGTCGCTAAAGACAAACTCTAATTAAAAGGAAGACTAGCTGTGCCTAGAGGCCTTCTAGAAAGCACCCGTCAGAAGAAGAAAAAACGTAAAGGATAACAATAGGGTGTAGGAGTGCGCTCTTAGAGAGGAATTCGTTTTTGTTCGCGGATGGTTAGTTCTTCGTGTGGATTGGAGTAAGTAGCAAAGAAGATCATCCAGTACTTCGAGAAAAGCAAAGAAAACTCACGCTATTATCCACGGACGAGGGCGAAGAAGTTGTAACGGTGAAATTGGGTGCTGTCAGAGTGTACTTTTCGGGACCCAATCGAATGCCGTGCCCTGGTTTTATTGGAGGCAATGGCTGACTGTTAACCTTCTCAGCATACTCCAATAGTTGTTCACGATGCAGGGGAGTTAAAATTAGCTGTTCAGCTTTCGAGTCTACAGCCAGTCTAACATCAGACTCCGTTATTTTTGACCGGCCGGAATAATTGGCAAGAGCTCTGGCCTCTGTCAAGATTTCTCCAGTATATTCTACGCAAGAATAGAGCACGTAAGTTTTTTACTGTAAATGATATCCAAAACTCGCAGGCAGACATCATCGCATACTCCGGTGAGATTGAAGTCCTCGAAGATGGACTTTATTACAGCAAACGGTGATGTTTGTGAATCGTTCTGTCCTTCAGAATCGGTCATTCTAGTGAAGAGATGTAACATATATGTTACTGCATTGGCCGAACAGTAAGGCCTAGCTTGCCTAAAAAAGATGGCAGGTGAACCAAAAGCGTATAACTGTGCGTAGAAAACTGGTTAATAATGCAAAATAAACACAGATGCAAAGAGAACTATACTAAAGTAATTGACGATACAGTCAGGTTATGAGAAAATAGCATCAATTTTTGCGGAAAATAAACAGGAAAGTAGGGTGATAGGAGACTTGGGAAGAGGCAAAATATTAAAAAAAGTCGTGTCAGTCAGGCCTTCTGTGAAAAAAATGTATTTGAGACACTGAATGTGGCAATGAAACTGGCGATTCACAATTAGTATACTTATACATATCGGGATGACAAAGACCCAGCTAAGAGGATAATTCCGATTACACTATTGAATTACACAATGTTCTCTTGGGATGCGAGAGACATTATTCGGCCTATCTTAGTTGACGATCACACTTAAAATAATCTCACTTCGAGGCAGCGTGATCTAACCGTGACGATAAAATATCACTGTTGGCATCTTTCGAAACAATAATACTTCAGTATATGTGCTTCGCCGATCTGGTAGATGAACAATTAAGTTTTGCTTAGCTCAGGCACTCGCAATTAGAGCCCGCGCAAGCAGTCACATAGCGACTATGAGGATAGGATGGAATGGATCCGACAAAGCAGA